GATACACTTAACACTAAAGTGTGAGTGACAATTAGGCTTAACCTGTCCCAGAGGCATTTGTACCTCAAGAGAATAGTTTCTTCACCAAAACGGAAACTCGGCTTGGTGAATGGACTGAGGAAGCTGGGGGCGAGGTGGCTGTTGAGGTGCTATTTCCCTGATGGCGATGGTGATGATAGCAACCTGAGCCGACCTCTCCCCTCTCATTAAATCACCGAGAAATAAAAATTACGTTAATCAGAGTACAAGTTATATCCGTTATCTTACTTCATTTCCACAATTATTCTTCACAATTAGTAGGGGAGGCTTAATAGTCTCAGGGTCTCCAGTCTCAGCGGGACCTCAGCCAACCTTTGTGTCCACTCCCATCCGTGAGTATCGCCAGCCTTCTCCACCGAGCTGCATCAAGATTTCCGTGTCCCTTTCCTTCTTCCCATAGTGGACGCTCTCCCATTACTCTACTACGGGGTGAGGTGGTTAGAATTTCAGAGCGAGAAGTGCCTTAGGGGCCATCGGGTTAATCACCTCATTTTGAGATCCAGAAAGCCCAGTTAGCTGAGACCAGAGTCCAAGTGTTTGGACTTCCGGTCTTTAATTCTTTCCAGGAAAAACCCGACCGCCTCACCTTCTGGGAGAGGAGTCTGCTGAGATGTGGGCTTGTGTAACCCTCACTGCACACCAGCCCCTTTCTCCACGAGCGCTCCTCCCTCAGCGCTACATAAACGCAGAACAGGGACGGAGCTACATTGGTGGACCCACATGTCCCTGGTGCTTCCTTTTGCGTGGAGGGTGGTTGGCAGCCGGCTGCCCAAAAGCTGGCACTTCTCCTTGAGAGTGATGTGTTTATAGGACAAACCCAGTTCTACGTTCAGTTGAAGTCACATCCACAGGGTTTCCTTTGACTACTCTGTCAAGGTCAAAGCTCTGAAGAATCACAATGTAAGAATCTGTGAAGCTTGTTTGTCTATTTCTGGGAAAACTTTGAGTCCTGGTGTACATTGTGCCTCTTTCTATCTCTCCCAGAAGGTTTTTGGCAGACTCGATTGGTTGGATGAATAGATAAGTGTGTTCTGATTTTTAGCAGAAGTCTTTGTACAAGCGATATAGACCATGTCTGCAGTCCGTGTTTTCTCTGGTTCACGTACTATGGAGAAAGCCCCCATTGAGAGGAAATGAACAGGGTTCCTCACACATGGTCCTGTGGAAAGCAGCCAGACTGGGCATTCAGCCTTTGTTCACCTGCATGGGAAGTCACCAAGTACAGCAGATGGATACTCCTGGGTGTGTGGGTGTGTATTTATGTATTTTCCCTAGATGTGTCAAATCTCTAAAGACCAGGAAAATGAAACCACCTCCATATAGTATATGAGTCTTTCTTGACATTTGAAAAACAAATCAATTAAATATCAGTATGGGTGTAACCTGCTTTTTTTTCTTTTCTTCTCTTTGTTACACTTTAGGGCCCAAAGTGATCCAGACTTCTGCAGCCAATTTCTCACTAAACAATAGCAAAAAGGTAAGACTGAGTGGCAGCCAGTGGGATGTTGCAAACTGGCACGTGACTAGGAAGTGGTCCTGCGTAGAGGGACCTTCGGTTCCTGGGTGGCACAAACAGTTCGTGCTCAACTACAAACCTAAAGGTTGGTGGTTTGAACCCACCCAGTGCCACTGTGGAAGGAAGTCTTGGCGATCTGCTTCTGTAAAGATTACAGCCAAGAAAACCCTATGGAGCACAGTTATTCTATAACACGTGGGGTTGCCATGAGTTGGAATTGACTTGACGGCAGTGGGTTTGGTTTTGGTTTTTCAGACGGGCCTGAAACAGACAGAGCGCCTTGCACTGCCTCTTGTTTCTCAGGCAACATACATTTCTTAATCCACTGTCTGCTACTGAAATGAATAGCTCAGGGTTTTGGTTTTTGAATTGTGCTTTAAGTGAAAGTTTACAATTCAAGTTAGTTTCTCATACAAAAATTTATACACACATTGTTATATGACACTAGTTGCTCTCCCTGTAATGTGACAGCACACTCCTCCTTTCCACCCTGGATTTCTTGTGTCCATTCGACCAGCTGCTGTCCCTTTTTGCCTTCTCGTCTTGCCACCAGACAGGAGCTGCCCATTTAGTGTCATATATTTACCTAAGCTAAGAAGCACTCTGTTCACGAGTATCATTTTATGTCTTATAGTCCGATCTAATCTGTCTGAAGAGTTGGTTTCGGGAAAGATTTCAGTTCTGGGCTAACAGAAAGTCCGGGGAGCGTATCTTCTGGGGTCCCTCCAGTCTCAGTCAGACCATTAAGTCTGGTCTTTCTACTCGAGTTTGAGTTCTGCACCCTCCTTTTCTCCTGCTCCATCAGGGAGCCTCTGTTGTGTTCCCTGTCAGGCCGAATACCTCAGTTTTTAAGGAGGATGGTGATGTTTCCTCTTAGGGGACAACCGTTCATTTCCAAAGGGTAGGCAGCCCACCCTGCTTCTTCGCGTCTGCCGGTGCTGTTAGATCACAGGCTGAACCGTCCCACCCTGGTTCATCGCGTCTGCCAGTGCTGTTAGATCACAGGCTGAACCGTCCCGCCCTG